CACACCCACACCCGTGCACACACCCACACCCACGCACACACCCACACCCGTGCACACACCCACACCCACACCCACACCCACACCCACACCCTGCTCAAAAACAAAACAAACTCTCTCCAATTCGGGTTTTGTATCGCCTTTTCCAAAGGGCTTGGGAGCACGATTTTGCTTCTTTCCACGTCTAACACACACAGTCCTGCGTCTTACACGCTCCATTAGCAAAGGATAAATGCTATACACAAATCACAATCACAAAACAAAACCCCCAACACACAGGTAAGTTACAGGGCCCATAGCGATGCTTTCTACATCACGTATAATCATTTGCTCGACGAATTCACGCATCAAGCGCACAGGTAAAATGTTAAGTCTTCATTTGGCTCAGGGTGACATCAGTTCTACCGCAAGGTGCACTGCTTCTCCTGGAACTAGAATTTTCATTTGGGGCGAAGCTGCTGTGCTTGTGAAACTGGGGAACAAGGGGAGAAGCCCGCCCATCGGCTCAAGTGCCTGGGACCCGAGCTCCTCGCGTCTCACACATCTAGGAGAGGCTGCAGGGACAGGAAGAGAGGCTGGAGTCCAACCGGAGTCTGAAAGGGCTCCTTTGTGAAGGAGGGGGTCTCTCTGGACCTGTGACTTGTTCAGGCCAGCGACTGCTCTCCAGGAACCTAGTGGACACACAGGTGACCAAGTTTCACAAGGAGGCGGTGGGCTCCAGGGCACTGACAGACATTGTGACTGGGGCTGGCAGGAGCAGTTCAGGGACAGGGCGGCCTTGGGGGGACAGGAGGTGCCTGGACTGTTGGAACCTCGGAAAGCATCACAGGAACCCGGCCTTGGTGCGCAGGGTGACAGGGGAGTGAGACGCTAGGATATTTATTGAGGAATGTGAGTGACGAGACCTAGGAGCTAGATGACTTCTCGGGAACGGTGACGACACTGCCTTCACACTCGCACGTGGCTTTCCGTTGCACAGCTCGGCACGTGGGGGCACTCTCGCGCGGGCACACGGCCCTGCAGCATGGCAGGGGCAGTTACGGAGCCCGGCTCCACTAACCAGGGCGATGGTAATCTCTGGAACAGGTCCAGGCGCTCTCGTGATATTTTCTTCCCTGGCTGAATCTGGCCCCGAGTCACCAATACTATCAATTTCTTGACATCTGAGTCCCAAACGGAATGGTTACACTGGACAAATCCTCATTTTGTTTGAGCATGACACCATATGAAATTACCGTATTTGATGCCTTCCTCAGATTTGTTTTCAGTTCCCAAAAGGGAAAGGCAAAAGGGAAAATCACAGTGCACGCGAGGCCCGTCTCTACACACAGTGAACATCACAGTGACGCGTCCGGGGAGGGAGCACAGGGAAATGACACACAGCCATCTAGGGCATCTGGAGTCACAGGGTGGGGGGACACGGATCCCGATGGGCCCCATGCACATTTCAGCTGTAGCACACACCCACCACCAGATGGCGCCAAAGCGCAGCCAGGCCAGCTAAAGACAGGGAGGGACGGGCCCTGCTGCGAGAACCGTACCCGCCAGGCTCAACGGCCACCCGGGTCCGGGTCAGTTCCAGGAACCGCACGAGGCAATTCGGAGGCAATTTTATATTTATAAGATCCCACCCATCGTGTCAGGTGAGACGTCAGTGTATCTTAACAGTTTGGGAATTTCGGTTTGATGCTTTCAGATTAGTCTTGCTCTGAACGCTAACGTTTCTCGCGAAACCGTGGCAGGAGGCTCAAGGTTCCCTGAGAGCTCGATGGGCCGGACACGGACACACACTCCCGCATGCGGCCGTTTGGATCGCTGGCGTCTCAGGCCTCAGCGCCAGGCGCTCTCAAGCACAAGCAGCTGGGGGGAGCAGGCGGGAGCGGGGCCGAGCGTCCCGTGTTCTCCGCGGGGCGAGAAACGTGGCGTCTGCCTGCCAGGCTCTGGTCCCCTCTCGGGAGGGCTCTGGTCCCGGTGCGATGGTGGTTTCACTTGCGGCGAGCCTTGGCTCACAATCAGCCGGGAGGAGACGCCCAGGGGAAGGAGGGGACACCACACGTCCTGACGCTGCCACTGGCTGGTCCCGGTCCCGCCCACGGCAGAACTCCCCTGCCCACCTTAGATGCCTGCCCCCCAAAGGCTCACGTGCCCAAGAACGAGGATGCCAACACCCCAGGGCAGTGACTTATGTCGAGGACTCTTTCCTCCCCCTTGATTAAAGGTCGCCTGATGTCCTGTGGGGCAGGTTGTGACAGAACGGGAGAGGTATAGACTTTCCCCGCGTGCCAAAAAACCCTACTGTTGAAAACTCCACAAAGTCACAGAATGCTAGATGTAGAAGGGACCCTGGGAATATCCAGCAAGGCCTCTCACTAGCTCAGGTCATGCTGCCTCCGCAGAGGCCTCCACCTTAGACCCGGGACGTCTCCTTCCCCCCGCTTCTGTATTTCTCAGTACCCAGGCTGCTCCCCCCCAGTACTGCCCTCACGCTGCTTTGGTCTGTCTGTCTGTCTGCTTGGGTTTTTTAAAATAAGCTCATCAGGTGAGCAGATAACAACAACATTACTTATTAAGCATGGACCTTAGTGTTTCATGATTTCATCTTTAACTTTCTTAAGAAGACAAAGTAAGCATGGGCCCATTTCCCAGAGGAGGAACCTGAGGCCTAGACAGATTCCACAATTTGCTGAAGGTAATTCAGCCAGTCGGTGGGCGTGGGCTGCACTGCCCCTGTCTGCCAGGCTCTGCGCCGGGCACTGGGGCGTGACTAGGGAGCGAGGCAGTGTGAACGTGACCCAGGAGGATGGGAGGGACGGCTGTGGAATCAGGCTGGGACACGACCATCAGAGGCTCTGAACCAGGAGGCAGAAGCAGCCCTCGTTTCAGCACAGGACCCTGAGTTGTCACAGCTCGCGCCTGGTGGCCTGGAGGGCACAGAGACGGAGGCCAGGTGGGGCTTGCACGCTGGTCCGGCAGTGGACAGACGGGGCGGAGAGGATGAGGACACGTGTCTCCCGACCCCCGCCGAGTGTAGACAGGGACAGGCAAGCACCGGAAGGGGGCCCACAGAAGATCCCTCTTTGCGGGGGGGGGGGGGGGGGGGGTCTGGTGCACGTCTCAGGCCGCAGCCTGCGCGTGGCCGTATGTGAGCACACCGGGCTGACGCTCACCATCACTTCAGGGCCTCGGGGCGGTAATACGCAGCGGTACAGGGCTGGCTGGGCTGACCTGGTCAGCGGCCGCGGGACCCACTGCCCCTGCCCACTCCCCGTGGAGCGCCTGCAGAAACCATCTCCCACCCCCACTGCATCGTTATTACACACCCGGAGGCCCACCTGCTGGGCCGCATTTCATGGAAGGGCTGGATTTGAACCCAGCTCTCGATCGCTCCCGGGAGCTCACGTCTGCCCGCCCAGCGGCACGGTCCTTCCGGCCCGTCCGGCTCAGCTCCCCTCTGCTTGCCGCACGGGGCCAGCGGCCGCACGGCCACCCCTCGGCAGGGTTGGCGTCTCCGGCCTTTATGCAGCTGACATTTTCTGTGTAAAACTTTACAGAGGTACTAGAATAATTGAGAATAGTCATTTTCCTCCTGCCTCTCTCTACAGACCCCTTCTGTGGCCCCTGGACCCAGCGAAGGTCTAAATGACAATTTTAAAATTTTGTGGACAGAGAAGGTTCTCTTAACAGAGACGAAAGATATCCGCTGAGCAGCTTGATAGAAATCCACACCTGCATATTACAGGTTTCAGACTCACCCTCTCTGCCCTCTGAGTGCCAAGCGTTTCCAAGAAAGTACCAGCAAAGGATTTCTGGCAGTGCCGGATGGCCAATACAATGAGGCCGTGTGCGAGGGGTTATGAGCGGGGGAGTCTCCCGGGGAGCGAAGGGCTATGCGGAGGGAGCTCCAGGGACCGCGGGCCAGCTGCGCCTCCACGGGCTGTGAGGCTCCCGCAGGCCAAGGCCTTCCAGAGCTCAGCGTCTGGACCCTGCGGTCTAGCTCGCCTCCCACGCCAATGTTTGCTTTTCATGACAGAATTTCTCTTTCCTTTTTTGGACGGCTCCCTCCTTGCATTTCTAATCCCTAACTCCCCTCCAGGGCCAGTGCGAAAGGAGGGACAGTCCCACACCACCCAGAGACTCTTGCCGCACCAAGAAAGTCAGAGGCAAAAGGGAAACAGCATCCTGGCGTCACCCCTCTGTGCTAGAGCCCTGCCCCCACCCCTGCTGTAACTTCAACAAGGTGACGCCCCCTCCTTCACGTAGGGCAGTGGACGGAGCCTCAGTCAGCCCGCCCCTATGACCCCACTGCCATTTGCCAAGTTCAGGGACCCGAATGCACGGCCTCCCAGACCCTTGGCCTCCTTCCGCTACCAGGGCGCTCCCCGACAATCCAGAGATGGCAGCTTAACGGGGCCTCCCTGAGAGGACTCCCCAGCCGGCTTCCACGGCACGTGCGCCACCGCCCAGGGTTGCCCCGGCCTGACGAAGGACAGGTCTCTACAGGGCCCGCGGAAGTCTCATGCGTGTGGCTTCCTCGAACCCCGACCGTCAAGGCCAGAAGGGAGCCGGGACTCCCCGTGACCTGCCCTCGGGGGACGGCACGTGCCTGCGTCCAGCGCTCTGCAGCCTGCCCCTCCGCCACAGTGCTACCTCTCTCTAGCATCCTCCTGGCACACGGCTCGTGCCCTGGCATGTGACAGCTGCTGAATTAATTTCCCCTTGTCTGTATGGCCAACTCGGGCACATGGGGCGGCATTACTTCCCAGTAAAGCCCGATACCCCGGGCAGATGGATGCTCGCGGAGAGAGGGGTGAACAGGGGGAGTCTGCAAAGGGAGGGGACCAGAGACCTGCAGGGACAGAACACTGGCTGTGCCGCGTGTCTACGAGCACCCACAGCCTACCCTCGGTTCCTAATAGAGGCCAAAGCCCCGCCGTCCGGCTTTCGGTGCTGTTCTCCTGAGAACGGCTGCACGGTGGCCAAGGAAACAGGACACCTGTCCAACCTCACCCTCCACTTCTCCCCAGAGGCTGCCCTACCGGGCCTCCACCTGGCCAGGGTCCCTGTGACACTCTCCCGCCGTGCCGGCTTCCCTCCTCTGTCACCAGGCTGCACTGCACGTCTCCTCCCGTTGTTCACATGGGAGGGCCGGGGCCGCTTTGCGGGTGCCCACCCCTTCCTGGACAGGGCAGCCCCTCAGAAGGGACTTGAGGTGACAGGCTGAGCGACAGCACCGCCAGGATGCTTGTTCTACCGCTGTAGCCCGGGGGGAACGCCAGCGGTAACCCCACGCACGCCGCACCGGGCCCCACGCTCCCTCCTTCGCTCGCCAAGGCACGTGTGCCCCAGCTCAGAAACGCTTAAAAGGACTCTGGGAGAATTTCACGGGATCACAGCAGGAATTTGTTTTTTATCTTGAAAGAACCTCGGAGATCGTCTCAAACCCCGGCACGATCTTTTATTAATAAGCGGCAGAAATGTAGCGCCTTTTCCACCATTCAGATGCTCACAAGCCCGACTGGGAAAAGCCCGCGCGATGCAGAGGCAACTCCAGGAAAGAAGGACACAAGTGGGGTGAGCGCCACTCCCGGCCGGGGAACCCCGGCTTACCGCACGTGGGGACGTCCTCCTCCGCGGACGAGGTCTGCTCATCCGTCGAGGGCTTTTTCTTCCCCAAGCCGATGATCTTGGTGATCTTCTTCCCAGTGACTTTAGACACGGTTCCCTTGGTCTCTGATTTGGAACTTTTCTTCCTCTTAACTGTTAAGAGTGACGATGGAAATGAGAGAGAGTGTGTCAGTTGCAGACTTTACCGGAAAAAATCAGGGACAGAGCATAAATCGCAGTCCATTTTATTTTCCTCAATTTGTACTCATTGAGCACCTGCTATGAGCCGACTGCTGGCGTGGACACAAAAGAATACAGCAAACAGGTGTTCAGAAGGAGTGTATGTGCTAGAGACGATGCACACGGGTGTGCAAGCACGTGTACACACGCACACATGCAGTCACACACAGGGGAGGCCTGATGGCAGCCGGGCCCGCACGGTCTACACTGGGGTGACGTGGACAGGCCCCAGGCGGTGGGCAAGCCGCCTGGAGGGGCCACTTTGAACCGCCAGCTGGGAGACGAGGAAGCAGCCGGACCAAGCGAGAGCCTTCTGGGCAGCGGGAGCGTCAGGAACACGGAGGCTGTGAGGCTGGAGGGAGGGATGGAAAGAAGCAGAGCGGCCTGGGGAGGGGCTGACGGAGGGACGGGTGGGCGCGGGTCCTCCCCAGTCCCAGGAGCCCTCCACCAGCCCCTCACCCTCCCCAGAATGCCCAGGACGGCAGCTTCCATCTGAGCCCCTTACGCTCTGCTTTGGCGTGCACGGCATGAAGTCACGAAGTCGCACTGAATGTACCAAACACGCAGACGCTGTGCACCAAAATGACTTCTGGCTCCCCTTGGGAAACAGAAACGTCTGGCAACTCGGGACCCCCGTCTGGGATCTCGCAGAGATCGGAAGGTGCGTGAGAAAGCGCACCCGGAACCGGGGGCCAAGGAAGACCTTTCCTCCCACGGCAACTGTGCGAAGGAGATGTCACTCACCCCCCTCACCTGACGGCCACTGCGTGCCTGGTACTGGACCCAAGGGGAAAAGGCACCTTTGCCAGAACCGCACAGGACAATGAGCCTCCGGGAGGGGCAAGTGTGGCTTCACGACGGAGGGCGGTGGGCCGGGAGAGGGGCTCCCCATCGCCCTCCTGGTGTCGCCATGTCCAGGGTGACTTGAGCCTCCCCATCTATAACCCACAAGGGGTCTTTTGACAATGTAATGAAAGTGAGGACCTCTCTCCCCTCCTGCTCATCCTGGGCCCAAAGGAACATACCTTAAACACACACAGAATAATTTCAGAGACAGGGGACTGGGGGGTGAGGGATTACAACCCTAGGCCTCATTCCTAAAGGCCCCTGTAACAAAGACTGACACGATCGCTCTCTCGATGGGGGTGGGCGGGGGGGTTGGGTGCTTCTCTCTCCTCCAGTCCCAATCTGCCATCCGTGAGACACCAGGCACAGGCCCACGTCCCACCTGGCCCTGGGGACACTAGGCGCGGGCCCACGTCCCACCTGACCCACGGGACACCAGGGGCAGGCTCACATCCCACCTGGCCCTGGGGACACCAGGCACGGGCCCACATCCCGGTCCTACCCGGCCTGCTCTCGCACTCCCTGGCCCGGCAGACTCAGCACCGTCCCGAGTTCGAGTCACTTTGTGTTCACCGTTATTCCCTCTCTAGAAAGAAACGACGGTTGAAAGACAAGAAGCCAAGCCAAACTTCTGGGTAAACACAGCCTTTGTTCCAGACTGAAAGTAGGTGCCCCCCAGAACCCCTGCATTGAAGCTCCAAGCCCAGTGCAGCTGTATTTGGTGATGGGGTTACAGGATCATAAGGGTGGGGCCCTGATCCCGCAGCATCAGTGCCCTTCTTAACAAGAGACTGAACACGGAAGAAAGGCCACGTGAGGACACAGCGGGAGGCGGCCATCGGCAAGCCAGGAAGAGGCCCTCACCAGCAGACAGCTCTGATGGCACCTCCAGGTAGGGCTCCCGCCTGCAGGCCATGAGAAATGAACGTCCGTGCTTTCAGCCTCCAGGCTGTGGTACCTCGTGAAGCCCTGGTGTGACACAGGCCCATGGATGGAGCACAGGACAAGCACCCCGCCTCCCCTACGCTCTCCCAGCGCCCGCCCCTCCTCTCTTCAAATAACACACCAAGAACCTGTTGCCATCTTGGTGGACTAGCACATTCCCACCCCATCCCCCCAGCTACCCCCAGACGTGGGCGTCCGCGGTCGGGACGACTCTGTCATTGTGCTTTCCGTGTGGCCACACCAAAGCGTTTCAGAAGAGCCTCGAGACCACCTCTGACCGCAGTCCCGTTCAAACTAAGCTTTGAAAGGAAGGCGCTCCCGGCGTGCCCTGAACACCCCCTTCCGCAGAGCTTGGGGAGCACACGGAGTTCTTCCTTGTGGCTCAAAGCGAAGATGTTACATTCACTTCTGATTCTACCAGCATTTTCTCCTGCTGGGGAAGTACCTGACCACCAAGAAAAGACCCGATGCTTCTAATTCCCTGAAGGACCACTGATTAATTTTTTACAAAAGCAGAAGGGACTCCCTGGAAGGAAGAGCCAAAGTATGTAGGGACGTGAGAATGTGTTGATGCTGCTTGCTACACAGAAGGCAGGATTTGACACACGTAATGGAATTATGAAGACACCTCCAAGACTCAGAACTCTCCAATAAATTCAGAGACCAGGAAAGCCGCAGGGTCCAAACGTCACACGCCGTCAGTGCTTGGCAGGCAGTGAGGGACAGACCACCGAAGCAAAGCCAACTCCCAGCATTTTGAAAGCCATAAATATCATCAGCCCAGACACATCCCTATGGCCAGTGGAGAACCTGAGTCACAAGATGGCTAGGGATATGGGGAGCTGTATTGAAATCTCTCGACTGCAAATCGGTCATGAGTGAGAAGGTGGGTGCTTAGGTACAGATATATTCTCTCCCTCTCTCTCTCTCTCTCCACACACACACACACACACACACACACACACACACGTATATTCTCTAACACGTATATACAGACATTCGCATCATTCTGTGAACCTAATTTCCAGCAGGGACCCGGGAGAGGAAATGGCAAACAAGGACAGAGACCAACAACGTGTGCCGTGCCTCAACATCCGAGCAGGGACCGGAGATTGTATGTTATTCTGTTTTGGGGCAAAGTGTAAAGACTGCTTTTCAGGCTTTGATTACACATAATGTGCCCACGGAAGACGCAGATGATACCTTCCACTGAGTAACTTCCGACGGAGAAGACTAAAATTACACCCAGACACGACCAAGCTAGGGAATCGCAGGGGCAAAGGCAGAGATCGTGACCTTCCGGCGGGAAGCTTCTAGTATCGCAGTAGGCCAGCTTACTTGGGTTTTAACATTCTTAGTGCCTGGATTGCTATTTGGTTTAAGGGGACTTCCTTTCCGAGCTGGGAGACGCCTGCTCGGCACAGTGCATTTGAGCCGGGTGGGCGGACCGCTCCCCTGGGAAGCCAAGGTCATGGGGCTGCAAGCACACAGGCTGTTGGCTTTGCACAGGGGAAACGTCCCCACGACCCACAAATCCCAGCCTCCTCTCAGGCCACACACCCCGGGAAGGACACAAGCCACAGGCTGGGAGAGACTACACGCAAAACACACTGATAAAGGACTTATGTTCAAAACATTAAAGAACTCTCTAGAGTCAATAATATGAACAAAAACCCAATACAAATACAGGCAAAAGATCCGGGCAGACGTTTCTTCGGGTGAGATGTGGCGGGCAAGTGAGCACGTTAAAACTGCTCAATTAACATGGCTAGTCTTCAGGGAAGTGCAAGTTCAAGCCACAACTACGTAGCTCCACACACCCACAGAAAGGGCCGAAATGTATAGAACAAAACAAAATGACAGTGGCAAGGTGGTGAGAATGGACACGACTGACAAGCCACGCCCCTAGATTTTTATCCAACAGAAACGAAAACCTGTTGCGAATGTCTAGGACAGCTTTGCTCACTGCGCTCAAACCTGGAAACCCCCAGCTGTCCAGGCGGTGGGGGATACCCAAGCCGTGGTCCACACACGCCGGCATGCGGCTCGGCCACACAGAGGAGCAGACTGTGGGGCGTGCTACAGTGTGGGCGCATCTGCAGGGCGCTGAGCTAGACAGAGAGGCCAGACCCAAAGGCCACGTACCACCTGATTCCACTCGCAGGGCCTCCTGGAGAGGACACAATACACGCCAGTGGCTGCCGGGGGCACGAGGGAGCGTTTCGGGGTAACAGAAACGTTCCACATCTCGCCTGCGGTGATGGCTAGAGGCCCGTGTTTGTCTCAGCTCCAAGAACTATGTGCCAAAAAGCGTGGATTTTACTGCACAAATTTACGCCTTGTGAAGCTGACTTAGAAAAAGAGAATTCAAACTCCATACGCCCACGTTCACAGCAGCTCCATTCACGACGGCCAAAACGCGGAGGAGCCCAAACGTCTGCTGATGGAGGAACGGATAAACCCAGCATGGTCCGTCCAGACAACGGGATGGCAGCCAGCCTTAAAAGGAAGGACATCTTGACACCTGCTCCCATGTAGACGGACCCTGAGGACATCGTGGTGAGTGAAACAAGCCGGTCACGAAGGGACAGTACCGTACGGCTGCACTCATGTGCGTTTCCTCGAGCTGTCAGGCTCACAGAGACAGAAGGGAAAACGGTGGGCACGGGGGCTCAAGGAGGGCAGGGGAGCCACTGCTTCCTGGGGACAGAGCGCCAGTCTCACGAGACGAAAAGAGCCCTGGACGGGGATGGTGGGCGGCGGCACACGTCCGTGAGCGTCCTTAACGCGGCCGAAGTGGACGCAAAATGGTCGACGTGGTCGATTTTATGTCGTGCGTATTGAACCACGGCTTACACAAATGGTTTTTACGTGAAGGTGAATAAAAGACGTTTTCGGAACCTCTGATTTCAAATGACCAGAAGTCTGTGAGCCTGGCCTTGGCGTCCCGCACAGGGGACGCTGGGAAGGGCCCTCACGCAGCAGGAGGGCTTGCTTGGGCTCTTGGGCTACGTGCAGGTGACGTGGAGCGGGCCACGGGCTGCCGGCCACACTGCCCACCCACTCTTACGGACACTCAGGTCTCCCCACTGCAAATTCCTCTTGGCGATACATCAGGTCTGAGAGCCCGAAGGTTTAAATATGCGCAGGGCACCCGGAGGACGATGGGGAAAAACCGAGGCCAGGGCTCGGCAGGACAGCAGGCGAACACATGGGCTCGCATCGTCCAAGGGGGTTTCCGTGCACTTCTGGACAATGACACACACGACCGAGCCACCGAGCAGATGGTCTCAGAGTTCACAAAGCCTATTAGTTTCTTAAATTTTGTTTCTCACTTTGATTTTTGCTTTGTGGTTTACGTGTTTTCGGCACGAGCAGAACTCACCTTGTTCTTTTCCATTACACACGGTGACTCCATTTTCGGTAGCGCCCTCCCCGTCGGAGCTCGGCCTCTCAGAAGACAGTTTCTGTGAGGGCACAAAGGACCAAGTTATGCTCACGGTGGTTCAGGCTGGCCGAGTGACGCATCCCGGGTCAGTCAAAAGCCCTCTCCGCAGTGGGAGGAAGCGCGGGCCAAGCTCGCGACAGCCCAGAAGGAGCCGGGGCTCGAGCACGGGGCGCACCGCTGGCCGGCTCGCTGCTACAGCTCCCAGACGGCGGGGGAGGGGGAAGAACTCGCCAAGGTGGCCGTGCTTACACGCGCTCTATGCCGCCCCTCACCCACGTCATTCTTGCAAGCAATTTTGAAAAACATTCAGATTGCAAAAGGACATTCCCCTCACCAAGCCTCACCGAGCCACACGATCCTCCCAGAAATAAACAGCCCACCACCCATCTCCTTTCTTCCTGTCGTCTGCCAATTACAGGGGAAGGTCAAAGATCTGCTCGTAACAAACACTCCGAGGACACACAGAGCCCAGCCGCTGTCAAAAGCGCCCAAGGGCACACGCACATCCGCGCAATCGTTTGCGTCCGGCATCTGATGTACGGAGCGTCCTCAGGACCCTGAGCGGCATCTGAAGAAGGGGTAGTGTTTAGAGCTGGAATCTCCATCCTGGCCAGAGACCCGTGGCATCATGGTGGAGGAAGTGGACCTCGGGTCCAGCCCCACAGCCCAGCCCCACAGAGCCTCGGCCAGAGACACAGAAAAGATCTGGATGATACCAGGGCCCACGCACCATCAGCTGCCAACGCGGGGTCTGGGCGGTGCTGCCCGAGGACGGCAGACAGGCGTCTGCACTCCCGCGGCGGGGCCCGGGAGAGCCGCAGTGAGGGAACTGCGTCATTTAGTGGGAACCGGTCATGTGCCGAGTGCCAGGGACAGAATGGCTGCGAGCCGGCACTGCTCCAGTCTCGGGCCAGGAAGCACCCCTCGGCTCCAGGTTGGCAGGCCTGGCCAGGCACTAACGGGACAGCCTTGGAGACCAGAGAGAAGGAGAACGGCCAAGGGATGGTGAATGGGGGGCCGTGACGTGCAGCCCATAGCGAATGGGCCCCAGAGCAGCCTGTCTGGAAAGCAGCGTGCTTAGCAACAGGAAGCGAAATCTTAGAAAAGATTTCCACCGCTTGGTCTCGTAGGCCAGCTCCTGGGAGTCTAATCTCAGGTAACAGAGACGCAGCAAAGACTTGTGGGAGAGACTCCAAGTGCCGTGCCGTTTGGATCTGTCTGAAGAGGGAGACGGGCCTGGGGCGGGGGACCGATCCCCTAGCAGGGGCCCAGGGCGGGGGACCGATCCGAACAGCAGCAGAGGCACGGGTCTTTGGTACGAGACACGTGCTGAACACGCAGACGCGTTTGCTGCCCCTTACAAGGTTTCAAAACCGGGAACGTTGCTCATAACACACACGTAATGGAGGAAAAGCAGCATAAGCCACGCTATGCATCAGACCATCCAAGCCAGCTAAACCTACGCACTGCTACGGGGAGCTTCCTCCTCCACGCGGTGGCCTCACGAGTGACTTCCTTCGTCCTGTTTCTATTTCTTGGCCTTTCTGAGTTCCTACAGCGAACAGGCGTGAGTTTTGCTATCGGGAGAAAAACAAACAGGCCCGCCGTGTCCCAATGTCTGGGTGAGGCCTGTGAGGTTAATTTTACGTGTCAACTTGGAGGCGGTGGGTGGGGCGGATGAGACTAACATTGAAATCAGTGGTCTGTGAGTAAGCAGACTGCCCCACTACGGTGTGGGTGGGCCTCACCCAATCAGGTGAAGGTCTGCACTGCGCAGAAAGACCAGCCTTCCCCAGCAAGGGAGGATTCTCCAGAAAACTGCCCGCAGACTTCACCTCCAGCCCGCAGACCTACACCGTACATTTTGGACTTGTCAGCCTCCGTGATCACATAAGCCAATTCCTCATAACACGTCTCCTCACGAATAAATGAGTGTGTACTTGTGTGTGTATATCTGTGCACACACACAATCTTATATAAAACATCTTATATTTAAATTTTATATGTTGATAACACACACACCTTATCAGTTCTGCTTCCTGCAGAATCCAGACTAAAACGAGAAGAGACAAAGAAGGATCCATTCCCTGGCTGTGGGGGCCTGACAGGGGGGACTCAGAAGCTTCCTGGGACCCAGGCTACCCACAGAATATCTCCACGTGTACAGACGCAGGAAGCACAGCCAGAGGGGGCTGGGCGTGTGCGCCACAGTGATGGGCTTACATGTTTCTGGCAAGAAAGGCCAACCCTCCAGCCCCTGTGCGGGGCACTCACTGCGTCTTCCCACAGGTGAAATGCACGCGGAGCAGAGAGGGAACGTACCCTGGTCTGCAGGGAATGATCATATCCCGGGTCTTCAGGAAGGCGCACCTGTGTAGCGCCTGCTGGATCCCAGACACACACAGACTGAGCGGCACGCAGAACGGCCACATAACAGCCACGACTTTGAGCACCTCCAATCCATTAACACCTTTAGCCCTGTTTCTGTGTCTGTCGCTGGGAACCTCAAACCAACCATGCGGTCTACGAAGTGACTAACTCAGGCTTTGTACAGAGTAGGCACTTGAGGCATAAGCAGCTGAATTGCATTTTTTCTCCCAACTTTAAGTGCTCGAATCCTCAGAGAATGTCACCAAGACTTTGAGGGAGGCCTACATCGACTGCAAGAGTACCACTCCCAGGAAGAAACACGCCCTTACCTTCTCCAGCTCCATCTTGTGCACTGGGGAGCTTGATGGCGGAGGCCCCTCTGAATCCGCTGGGCCGCTGCAGCCACTGTAGACCTCTCGGATCACCTGTAAGAGGTGTAGACACGTCTGAGCTCTCGCAAAGGCAGGGACACATGGCGTGGGCGGAAAATCCGTGGGCGCGAAAGCACGTGGCTTTAAGTTCTCAGATGCCATCTGTTCACTCACTCGCCCACCAGACGTGTCTCTGATCCTGGACTGACACAGGCCATGCCCTGCGTTCACGGGCCTTCCAGTCCAGGATTATCCAGAGATCACGGTGAACAATGGGTACCCCCCAAACATGAAGGGAAAGTAAGGCAGCAGAAGGGCCCAAAGACTGGAAGGTGATGTTTAACAAAAGGGGAGTGGCTGATCTGTAAGATCCGGAGGCCTCACTGGGGTGACACATAAGCCGGGAGTCGAATGGCCAGAAGGATGTGGCCACATGAGGACCTGGCAGAAAAGGCGCCCAGGCAGAGGGACCAACGGGTGCAAAGGCCCTGTGGCGGATGGGAAGTGTTTAAGGACAGCACCTAGTACTGTGTGGCAGAGACGGGGGAGAGGCCACCAAGGGTCACAAAGCACGCTCAGGCCAGCGAGGGGGGCTGGGTTTGTGCAGTGAGAAGCCCAGGGGTGACGGGATTGACTTTGAGAAGCGGTACGGCACAGGGGCCGAGAGTGCGGGCCTCAGAGCCCAACTGCCTGGGTTTTCATCCTGCCCTTCATCTTGGGCAAACCGGTGACCTATTCTGTGCTTCAGTGTTTCCACCTGCCACGCAGACACGCGACGGTCCCACCTGTGAGACTGAAATGGCCGGAGGCAGTGCCTGAAACAGGGAGCATGCCCCGGCAGAAGTGCTAGACCGCACGCGCGCTGCGGAGGGAGGAACACGGACAAGTAGAAGGAAAGGAGTCGGGCCCTCGTGCGGTGGCTCAGGGGACAGAAGGGGGCAGTGCAGGCTGGGGCGATGGCAGGAAGGAGCTGAACAGTGGCCTCTGGAAGATTCTGGAGAACCAGCAGGCCCTGCCGGTGGGTGGGGCAGGAGGGAGGCGCCCACTCCAAGGCGGCTGGGTGCTGCCATATACTCCGACGACGGGGGAGGCAGAGAGCAGCAGCGGGTGGGGGAGAAGCGAGGCGGGTGAGTGGAAGCAAAGGCAAGCTTCCAGACAGAGCTGGAAGTGAACTAGGCAGTCGGGGGAGAAGAGCCCGGGGGTGGGGGGTGAGTCGCCAGAGGGAGGGCAGACAGAGCAGGACGCAGGTCCAGGAGGAGGACCAGAGCCGGTCAGCACTTGGGGGCTGAGCCCCAGGGGCGAGGCTCGTGCAAGAATGAGCTGGAGCGGCCAGGGAAGCGGGGGCGAGGCGGGAGGGTGCGGCTCCCCGGAGCACGGAGGAGGAGAGAAAGCCCCTCTGCTGGGGGCGGGGAGTGACCGAGGGGCTCCCGGGGAGGAGGCGAGCAGAAGAGGGTCTTCCAGAGGCGGCAGGAAGGCGGGGTCCGGAGAAGGCAGGGGGACACAGAGAGGCTGTCGTATCTGGTGGCAGGAGTCTGGGGACGCTCCTGTCCGGCCGGCTCCGTCTTCTCAGCGAAATGTGAAGCGAGAACCTCAGCTACCAGCTCGAGGCCCCGACCTCGCTGAGCCTCCATTTCCTCACCGGCACAGGAAGGAGGGTCAGGGTGGCCTGTCCCGCCATGTACACAGCTGTGATTAAATTGAGAGAAAACGAGACCCGCTCCGCAAAACGCCTGAGCCGGCACCCAGCACGCGGTGCTGCTCCGGTCATCGTCACCGTCACCACGGGGAGCGTCCTCACCATTGACGCCGGCGGCTCAGAGGGGTTCCCGCCCTCGACAGACGGGTGTGGTGATCCTCAGCCCCGCCAGTGCTCACAGCGCCCCCACGGTCACCCGCCATCCCCTCCGTCACCACTGAGCTCCAGCAGTGAGCTGGACGTGGTTGTGGTCACCGGGGATGTGCAGCGAACAGGACAGACCGGGATCCGGGGCGGCGGGCCGGGCATTCTGGTAAGGCAGAAGTTAGCCGGCAGTTCCTTCAAAACGTCTTGTTCCTTTTGGAACTAAACTGCAGTTTGAGTCCGACCCAAGCACCTTCGGGGCAGAACTGAAGTGCCAAAGCCCCAGATATCCTGGTAGGGGTTTTGCAACGGGATCTCAGCACACATGCCCAAACTCGCCGCCTTGCACTGACGCCGGGATGAGCGCCAGGAACCCACAGGAGCCCAGGACACCGCGGCCAGTCATCTTCCTGCTCAGCCGTTTTATGAGAAAACTATCAAGCAAGGTACACGTTTGGGGCTAAAATAGGAAAAAGGAAGAAGAAAGAAAAGCCCAGAGAACTTGCTGCCACAGTTTTGTTTTTTTTTTTCCTTGTCGGTTCTGAGCTGTGACAGCATCACCGAAGTGACATGAATCGACCCGGGCCTTCCGGACACCCCAGTCGCTGTCCGTGCTGACTCCGCTCCCGCTGCCCTGTGCCAGGCCTCTGTCCCCACACCTCCCCTGCGGCTTTATCAGATCTGTAGTCGACAAGGCAAATTTTTATTCGATCCAAGAACAAGATTCTGTCTTTTCTCGAGGGAAAGAGTACAATGCAGCGGGATCTCCGGGGCCCTGGGGTCAGGCGGAAACGGGGTTTCAACCCCAACGCTACTGCCTTCTCCATACGAGAGGCTGAGTGTCCTCGCCCAGGACATGCAGGACACAAGGCCTCTGGGCCACCATGGGAGGCAGGACCGCAGAACGCGAGGTGCCCAGCCGCGCTTCTGCTAGAGCAGGCAAGCGGCACACGTGGGCTCCCGTCCCCCGTCCCGGTGGCCCACCCCAGAGGACGCACCACAGGACAACCGTGCCAACCAGCCGGAAGCTCCCAAGTTCGTTTCACACCGCAGAACACAACCTGCAGGAAGCCCCCTCTGGCAAAGCGTTTGCGCAAGAAGCAACAGTCCCTTCTCACTCTCGCTCTGTCCGAGGCGGGAGGGCCCACGGTGCCGTGACGCGGCTCCGATGTCCCTCCCGGCCTCCCTGGCGGCCATCCGAACTGTGTGGGGGGAGCTGTGCTTCTCCTCCAGGCCGGATTGGGCTCGTCCTCGGAGCCACATGTCTGGCGTGTGAGCCCCACACGGCGTGTGCAGCAGCACCCCCGTCCTCACGTGCACACGGCTCTCGCACCCCGTGCGCCCACCGGCCTGTGTCTTCCCCTCAGCTGGGCCCGCTTTCCCACATGGGGCTGCATCTTGCTTATGTGGGTCTTCCCAAAGCCGAGCACGTAACAGCAACGTAAAAAGTTTGATTGGGAGGCGCCTGGGGGGCTCAGTCCATTGAGCGTCTGACTCCGGCTCAGGTCACGATCTCACGGTTCACGGGGCTGAGCCCCGCACGGGCTCTGTGCCGACAGCGTGAAGCCTGCTTCAGACTCTGTGTCTCCCTCTCTCTCTCTGCCCCTCCCCTGATCATGTGCTTTCTCTCCCGCTTAAAAATAAACATTTTCAAAAAATTAAAGAAGATCTGATTAAAGAAAAAAAAAAAGGAGGGAAGAAGGAAATAAAACGGACTTGACGTTTTCTATAGGGAAAGAAAGATGAATGAATGGAATCCAGGGGGAAAGAAAGCGGGCCGTCACATAAAGTAAGTAAACCCTCATGACAGCCTGTCCCCAAGCCTCTGCACAGATTTCTGAAATCCTTGGAGAACAAAAAGTTAAAACACGAAAAAGGAGTGTGCAGATAATAGCCACATCTGTGCCACCGACCCCACCCACAGGAGGCTAACCTCCTCACACTCTCTCCCACTCACCGCAGTGTCCCCTCTCCCCCGCTCCACAGCTGGACCCGTTCTGCCCACGAAGGTCCAAGGGACAGCGCACTGACATCGCCAGATGCGGTGGCCTCGCCATCGAGGCCAAGTGGTGTCCTCACCTCTCCTGAGAAGCCTTTCCTAACAAACCCAACCCATGTATCTGCAGGCTTAGAACTCTGTACATAAAGGATGTTCTTTTCTTCTCAACCGACTTCTCCTCGCTCCCACGACCGAACTCAAATTCCTTGCGCAGAGTGCAGTGTCCCTGGCGATGCCTGGGAAAGAGACAGCATCCAGCAGGCCACAGGGGACCCGGACACACCTGGGGCCAGGCTCGGGGCCGTCCCTGGCATCCCGCCAACATGGGATGATTTCCCTTCCCCCAGACTCAACCATAATCACAGCCCAGGTACAGAGAAGGGCACTGCGGAAAAGACGGGGGGGGGGGGGGGGGGGGGGGGGGGGGGGGGGGGCGTAAGCCGGTCTCCTTCCACGGTTTTGACCAACCAGCCAGCTGGATTACTTCCGATTTCTGTTTTGAAACTATCTTTCCGCTCTGATCTCCACTCGTTGCCAAACTGCCCCCACACGGTTAATTCAGAAGTAATAAAGAAAGGGTTTATCACCCACGTTGCTCGGATAGCTGCAAAGGAAGAGTTCGTATTAATGTGTTTCTTTTTAAAGAGCCACATTCCATGAGAGGTTCAATAGGTATTTAAGAGAACCAGATCCAAATTCAGAATCACAAACCCTTCAGGAAACAAATTGTTATATGTTCTGTGGTATTTTTGTTTGCTTTTAACTCGAGCCCTCATCTCCAGAAACACAATCTCTGCACATTTTTTAAGGAAACCTGACCACTCCGTTTCTGGGAACATTGGCTGTTGTCTTCTGACTGACCCCTACAAAATGGCTCATGTTTTCAGCATCTGTACACACACACACACACACACACACACACACACACACACACAGAGTCAGTTAGTTTTGGCCTGAGCAGCTGGTAACGGACGTTGCAGACCAGAGGAAGAGAAACAAACTTGGCCACAATTCTTGAAGAGGCGTGGGGCAGGTCAGGTGCAGACCCCACGTGGCCCTCCTGCTCTCCGCACCTGACAGCGGCCTCAGAGAACGTCAGCTGGGCCACTAAAGCCGCTCTTCAAAATACCAAAAGCCTGGATAATAAGTTTGGGACAACAACACAGCAGTTTATATTAACAAAGACATGGCCCCTGTTTCACACCACAGTTCACG